CCCCCCCATCCTTCCCCGATCGCGCCGTCCCTGTTTTCGACGTAAAACGTTGACTGATAATGCATGTCATAATTTACCTAATGAACAAGCCTTGGTTCAATTCGATCCAAAGTCAAAAGTATTTACTGTTCATTCGTTAGATCAAGAAATGGTTCATGTTGTTCATATGAGTGATTATAAACGCCTTTTCCGATGCTTCTGCCCAAGTATTGTGCAAAAATTGTACACATGTATTAGCTGTTAAAGTTTATCTAGGTTTCACATAAAGTTAAAAATTCATGACTCACTTACTGATGTTACTTTTATCTTTTGAAAGGTATGCCAATTGAAAATACTGATCATAAAGTAAATCTTGGATATGAAAGAAAAAGAAAAAAAAATAGAGGATAAAATTCCAAAACCTGGTGGAAAACGACCACGTCAATGTGATAAGGAAAATAATTATTCATCTCCATATTTTACGTCCAATAATAATAATACATCAATTGCTAATAAAACACATGAAGTTAATAACCATTTATCATCTATATCATTACCAATCAACACCTTATCAAGAACCTTGCCGCTTCGAAATGTTTCGAGTTTGTCTCCGTCGTCATCAGCTGTTACTGTACCTACACCAACATTAATAAGATCAGTTCGTCTCATATCACCGATAAATCTTGCTATTATACCATTACAACAAAATCAATATATGGTTATCCAACTAAAATAAACGATATAGGTTGCTTTGAAAACTGTAAACACGTCTAATATGATTGTTTTACGTTGCAGTATAGCGGTAATCAGTTAAAAGCATCATGCTAATCGATATTTTGATTATTATATTTCATGACTTTGTTGTGTTGAAGAATAACAAATTGTTCATTACTTTAGTCAGATGCTTTATTGTCTTTCGTCATTTTCAATTAATAACAGTATGTTGTCATCGATTGTTCTGTATGAAGTATATTTTTTTCATTTATTACTTGTACTTTTCTTTTTTTAAGGTTTACCTTTTTCTACTATCCAAAAATTGTTATTTGTCGCTTTCGACATAGATATGATTTCTTTGTCATAATGTTTTATTTTTGTTCATGATTTTATTCTTTTCTTTGTATTACTTTGATAATTCATGTAAAAGAAAAATAATTAAAAACTAAGTGTTCATTTAAATATCTATCACTTAGAATGATTTGTTTTCAGATCTGTAAAGTTTGGTCACCAAAATATATAATGAAGTCTGTTAACTTAACTTCGTCAAAAATATAAATAGCATACTTTTCTTTTAATAAATATATTTATATGTATATGTGTCAGATAATATTTACTCAAAAATTAAGAAAGTTTATATGAAGAAGAAAATATACCATTTCCTTATCCCGCAGCTAGCAAATATCTACAATCTCGACTTGATCAATTTGTTGCTAAAAGCGATAACTTTCGTTAATGTTTCTGTTCTTGAACTTCATTTTTCATAGATTTGGCGGAAAATCGATCAATATCAAATTTCAACAAAGTCAATTCTAATCGTATTTATACTCTCAGAAAACAAAACAATATGGTCCAATTGATCATGCAAGTTAAAGAAAAAGATCAAGCAACAAGTTGATTTCTCTTATGAAGTAAAAACAAATGCACTAATTTTTTTTTTATAGAAAAGCTTAGTGTTTTATCAATCGATAATGAAATCAAAGTAATTACTAATTCATTTATTAAAGTTTTCGAAGAAACTGGCTTTTATTGAATCCGCACCAAAATCGAGATACTTGTGTAATTCGTGTATTTTACAGATGTTATACAAATAATCGACTGATCTTGCGAAAAACACTTCTAGATTTGTTCAATGCTGGAAAAATATTGTATTACAGAAAACTCATCACCGCCATCTGATGGATAGATAAATAGATATTATTACGTAGCGACATATATGCTTCGCTATGAATAGGTCTTTCATTGTTTACTTTTCTACAATAGCTTTTACACAAGTGAAACGCAAGGAAATCCTAAGAAAACAATTTCTATTTTCGACAAGGATCGTCGATTTATCAGACGGAAGTTTATTATATTATATGACTGGATAAATAGATTGTAGGTCGCATCTCTTTCTTAGAATTCAGTCAATTTTCGCCGTACGTCTATGATCCATACACAGAGAAGCGTTTATAAATTTATCTAACACATAAATCCTTACATTTGTTATCTTACAACTTAAAGTAATATATTTTCTTATCATTCTTAAATTACAATTGAGTATTGCTCTTGATAAGGATATCTAGTGATTGCAAAAATATGATGTCTTGTTTCATCTCTTATCAATGTTATTTTTCCAAAACAAACTTACTGCCAAAATTCATCTGATCAAAATCTCGTAGATTGCTCGAGAAACCTATGGAAAATGATAAGGAACTTCAACGAGTACAATGTGATGACCGTCGCAGATGATATTAAATTTTCATTCTAAGCATTGACTATATCAATTAACAAGATGACTCTTATTTTTCGATAGACATTCTTCAACTTCAAGAAGTTCTGATTTTTATTTGATTCATCATTTAACAAAGCACAAAATGACAGTTCATTGAGATCGATTCTCACTAATTACGAATGGGAACTAGAATCGATATTGAATTTTTGTATTCGATGATTGTTCTGATCGGTAACATAAAGATTTCTCTTTTGATCAAATGACAAACCCAAAGGATGATTAAGCTGATTTGCTTGTTCTCCATGTTCATTTCCACCAACAACAACATTGCCCTGCGTAGCTTCTTTCGACCAACACATTACTCGATGATTCCAACTATCTACCACATAAACAGTGCCCAATTGATCGACAGTTACTCCAGAAGGACATGACAGTTGTGTAAGATCATTTCCTTGATGTTGACTACCAGCGACGACAATGCCTTCTTTTGTACCTTCCATCCACTTCATCACACGATGATTGTTTTGATCTGACACATACACTGAACGATTCTCATCGACGAAGATGTAAGTAGGACAATCGAACTGATTAAGATGATTACCTTTTCCATTACCTCCTGCAACTACTGTTCCACTAGTATCTCCCATTTTCCATCGTCTCACTTCATGATGATCAGTGTCAGAAACATAAAGATATCCATTGTTATCCATTGCCAAGCTCCAACAATCAATATCTGAGATAATGGTTTGTCCATTTGTACCATTTCGACGAGGCCATTGCACCACTTGTCTGTTTCTGCGATCGCAGATGATAAGACAATCACTCTCTTTGTCGACAATCACATCTGTTGGTCCATTCAATTGATCAGGTCGGTTTCCTTCTCCATTTCCACCAGCAACTACTTGACCGTAGGTTGCACTACATTTCCATTCCAAAATACGATGATTATAACAATCTGCAATATAGATAGTTTGATCATCGTCAACAAACACACTCCATGGACAATACAATTGATTTAGTGTGTTGCCTTGTCCATTGCCTCCAGCTACAGTTATACCATCATGTATCCATCTTGCATTGAAAATAAAGTCTACAAATAAAACAAAATATGAAATATTCATAATGACATCCAACCAGTTCTGTCCGATAGAAACGAATGTCATGAAACGAAAATAGTATGTTCTGATTGCAGCACAACGAAGTTTACCACAAATAAGTAGCTGAGCCAAGTTGGTTGATTGTATTAACTTCAAGCTAAGTACTTTCTAAGTTTTACATCATTCTTATTTGATTTTATGAAGGACGGATATGATTCACAGCATTTTTTTCTTTCTTATAATAAAAACAGAAGTTCTGTAATATATATTTATCTAATATTTTAAATCAGTAAATAGTCATTAGATAAAACTAGAAGTACCGAGTTATTTTTAAATTTAGCAAAATCAAAAAGAGATCTTCTTTTGGAACGAGTAATGTGTTGTAATGTACTCATTCGAGAATGTTAATCTGTTGAACTTAACATTCACTTGAATACTTTTGTTTAGATCCTACCTATTAATAAGTTGTGCTAAGATATTTTTCGTTCTAATACATTGAGCACTAATGAAAATGGTTCTTATGTCAGATAACTAAATTATAGTCTGTCCAAAAAGTTCATGCGTGTGACTATTTGTTGAATAACTTAAGAACAGAAACAGTTAGAGACCTGCGGTTTTCACCAGTCGAAGAAGGTGATATGGAGACATCTTTTTCTCTAATACTGTATACGACGAATTTATTTCAAAACCAATCATTTCCTTAAAACATTAGAAAATATGCGTGATAACGGTCTATGATTTCGATGAGATTTTAGTTTTAATATGTGATCTAGATAGAGGGACTTCAGATCTATAGCTTAAGATATAATTTAAACGATTATTTTCACACCTTCTAATATTAAGGAAATGAAATTTTCTATTTGTTTCCTCGAAAAATGCGAATTTCTCTTGAATTTTCTTACTTTTTGTTAAAAATTTCATCTCAACGATAGAATATTTTCGTGCATTTTTTCGATGTTTTGTAAAAAGGATTGATTTCAAAATGAATTTGTCGTACACAATATCGGAGAAAAAAAGCGTCCCCATATCATCTCCTTCGATTGATGAAAACTGCATGTCTCTAGCTGTTTGCATTCTTGAGTTATTCAACAAATAGTCATACGCACAGACTTTTTGGGCAGACTATACTTCTCTTTGTTCCAATCATTAGAATCTTTTAGCTCTATATAAGGTATAATTCTAACAAAAATCAATTATATTTAGTTATTCTTTACAAAGGAGAGCATACAAAAGAACGATCTTCTAGTTTTCTTTAGCACTTTTTCCATCAATAGATGATAAATTAGACACTTACCTTTGTCAGATACATCGATATCAATCTTTGTTATAAACGGTGTAGAATCTTGTCGAACTCTGATATTTGCAGGTCTGCTAAGTTCTTCCTGTAGTCGAGCCAGTTGTTCTTCCCATTTGTATACATCTATTTCAACAAAGTCATTGTCTTGACGACATTGACGTAGTTGATCAGTTAACTTATTTAGTCCATCTTCTATTTGAGTAATATGTCTAGTAGTATGTTTAAATAAGAATTGTCTAGCTTCTTCTGCTGTTTGTCGAATTTTGTTGATTGACTCATATTCCCATTTATTAATTTGTTCTATCAATGGATGCTTTTGTGGCTGAGATATTTTTTCAGTAAGAGTTTGTCGAAATAGATCGTGAGCAACTTCAACATCATCTAATTGTTTACTTAATTCTTGGCGATGATTTTCCAAATGATTGTAGCAAAAATTTTGTGAACAACCTTCACACTTAACAGTACGTCTTTCTTTATTGCATATCGTACAAAGATTTTTGTCAGTTGCTGTTGCCATGTATCGAATATTTTGTTACAAAAACTATTGTATAAAACAAACAAAAAATAGTATAGTATGTTATTATATTAACAAGCGACAAAACAACATGATTCATCATCAGTCAGCCTCAATATGAAGGCAAGAGATAGTGTGAAATGAGTCGATGCCAGTACCAATCATACTTGAGTCATAGTCCATATTATATCCGTTCTGTGTACAACAGGAAAAAATCATCGATAGATGCCTATAATTGTTAATGTAACATTTTCGAAAAAATTCTAAATGATTTTGTGATTTTCTATTTGTTTGTTAATTTATTGTGGCTCAAGAAAAAACTAGTGTCTGAAGTTATTTTGTGATTATAAAACTATATCGTATTTGTATTCAGTAGATTAACTTTCTAAAAACAGAATTATATTTTATTTATACATTTGGAATGATACTTATATTTTTTCTTATTCACCTCAACTCAATGTTTGCTAAATTCTTCAGAAACAGTGAACATAATGTTCTATAAATCATAGAAAGACCAAACTTCTCAGTTATTTTCTTATATACAGCACAAGAGAAATTACTATTAAAAACTAATTCTTAACAAATTCTTTCATTTTTCATAAAGAAAAAATTACAGTGTACATTATTTGTATTGTTGATAGGATCTTGCCAATTTTACTTCTAATCTAATAAGAATTATGCGTCTTTTTACTTTATGAATAACATATCTATGATCACATGAAGTAAAAAGTAAAATCTTTCAAAATAGTCAAGAAAGTTTTCTGATAACTTTCTGCATATGAATGATTGTCCAAAGCATTTTTTCATCCTTTAAAGAAAATATAATTTTTAGTGGACATACACTTTTAGCTTCGAGCAGAATTTGATTTTTCTCAGTACTTGTCTATTTATTGTGTTTGTTATGTAATGTCTGGGATTACTATAAATTTAAATGTTTTCAAACTTGATCACATTTTATCCATGAAAAGATTTTTTATACTTCTTTACAAAAGGCGACATACATTTATTATTTATCTCTTTAATCAATAAACTAATTAGGTTAAAAATTGTTTAGTTCCCTCAACTGAAGGAAGGGTCATATGAAAAAAAATAGTTTGTCCGTTTGCTTGTCGTCGGGTCAAAGGTCATAAAAAACATCAGAGGTGAATTTCATTTAGGCGTAACTTCTAAAGTTTCACCAAAGGTAATCCAGGTGTGGGTGTGAATGATAATAGTAACATCCACCCCGCACCCCATCCACACCTTCACCCAACACCATAAATGATCAATGTACTATAATTTTCGTCGAGAAAGCGTTGACAATGATTGAAAGACGTATCATAGTAATTGTGTTGGCTACACTTACTATTAATAATATTGATGTTTCTAAGCATCCAATTCGCAATATCGATAAGAAAACAAACGATCACATTACTCCATTATTTTTATAAGATTTTTTTCAATCGTATAATTGAGACATTGTCCTGAATTAAGCAACATTTAGTAAAAATTCAACAATTGAAAGTTAAGAATGTTCGTGCCGTAATTCGCATTCCTGATTTTGTTAGCATAGTATCTAGTTTACGTTTATAAGAAAATAAGAAATAGTTTGTTGAACAACAACAAAAAGGGACAAACATGCATAGTTAACTCAATAATTTCTGCCTACTGAAAAAGATATTACATTCTACCATTATTGTTCATATTGATATGAATGTTCATTATGAATCTGTTAGATGCATCAAATTATAATAATAAAAAGCAGATGATCCAAGTCGGTGAAAGAAGAATAACCAGCTATTTGTTGAGTACTTTAAAAAAAAAGAACTTATATATTTTTCGACGTATTAATAAACAATCACTACAAAGCTTGACAATGGTAGAGCAACAGAATCAGGTTTTTTAAACAATCATCATGGTGCAGTGCCGATAGCTTTCTTTTGAAGGATATTGCAAAACTGAATGAATTTGCACGGGAATCTAAGTATCTACAAATATAAAACCCAGGAAGTCAACGAATCTCATTCATTAGTAGCAATAGTTCTGTTACGCTACCGTCACATGAATGAAATTTGAAACTTTTGTTTAAATGTCATCGTGGTACGGCAGGTTTTCAACTTCGATAGATACCTCTAATAGATTTATTAGAATAAACGATAAATCTTGAAGAAAATAATATATTTAATATTCTGTTTTTATTTCAAACTGATAATTCAAATTTTACTCGTTAATACAAAATACAAATTGAGAAACACACTCTTAATTGAAAATTTTCTCAAATTAATTATTTAGTATACAAAATCAACTGATAAAAAAAAAGAAATTTATAGAAATATTTAGTTTGAGAATTCTTCGAAGAAATAAAATTTCTAAGAATATTATTCAATGTTCATGAGAGAAGATAAGGAATTTCGAATAAATTATATGCAAATTATTTTAATTTTCGTTCATCTTGATAATTTCTCAAGGGTGTGGGTGTGGGTGTGGGTGTGATTAAAAAGAAGATTAATACCCACACCCACACCCACACCCTTTTAGGTATCGCTCTCATTCACTTATAGTATGTTCCTTTCAGTCTAATAAATGAATTTAGAATAAAAGACAAAAATATCTGTTTCCCTTTTATCACATATGAAACATATGCACTATCTTTAAATCTATCATTGACACAAACGATCAAAATTTGGATAAAAATATTTTGTCTACTTTGCTGATGTAAGCAAAGTATATGTTTAAACTTCGTTTTCGTCAGCAAAATGTATCACAATGTACGAAAATCAAATCTTTTGCAATCTAAAAGAATAAAATATAATGCTCGTCTTTTTCTTTTCAGAATTAGAAATGTAAAATTAATACTGAATATAGAAGGTTTGTCTGCCGTAACCATTTTCATGTACTAATTGGAGGTGTGGATGTGGATGTGAGTTAAAACAAAGGTCACGCACATCCACACTCCGGATGGGATTTTGTGTTGCCGCTTTCTTCTGTCAAATAATTAATAATATTGCATGAGTATGAAATCAACGATGATCGTCAAGCGATTTTTTATATTTTGAATTTGATGTCTTTCTAGGTAAACTTTTTTTAGAAAGAGCGTTAAAAAAAACTTCGAATAAATTAATAGAAAGGAGTGAGCCTGGTGCAAATAAGAACAGCAATTATCCTGAACATGTGATAAAATAAAATTAAAAATATCTTCTTATCTTTATATTTTTATTTGACGTTGCCAGAACTTTTGGTTAACCCTAAGTAATCAATACTTGTCACCCATTAAAACAAAGTCAATCAGTTTTTAGAAGAACACAAAATTAAAAAAATAAGAAAAAGAAAAAAATAATTTTATTTATTTTTTGTTATCAAATTCATATGTAATGTTTTAATCGTTCATGTTTATGTGTTTTAAAATCATCATATCAATATGAATCTTTTATATTCTTTTAATCCAACAATTCTAGAAGATAGTCGAACATCTAATGTACGTATGTGTGTGACACTTGAGGAAAAATAATGTAATATTAATAGTTCTTATCTCTGAAATAGTATTTATTGAATGTGAAAATGTTTTATCATATTGATGATAAACCAGATCATCCATCGGGATGTAGGTATGGTGGTGTGAGCGTTGAATGAAAACTACATAACCACACTTACGTTCTAGTCATATTCACATTATTTTGGTCGAAAAAAAACAGCATTTTAGTCAATCAACACTGTAAGTTTTTGCCTTTGAGATCAATTTATAAAATTTCCTAAATTTCTGATGTATTAACAAAAAAATTCAGAATGATACTGAAAGACAAGCACAAATCTTTGGGAAACAATTAAATGCAAGAGTTATTAATGTAAAGTTCCAGATAAAAAAGAATTCAGTTAAGTTGTGCTCTATTATAATATACTCTCCCTCTTTGCAAGAAAGTTTGCGAATGTAAGTTGTAAAATTTGTAAATTTTCTTGTGAAGATGACTGTTATTCGAATCCGAAACATTAAATCAAAATAAAATTAGTATAAATTCAAAAGAGATTATCATTTTCTTTTATATCGCTCAAAGATATGATAGTTTTATTAATTTTCGAAAAGACATCTGTACAAAACGTACTCAAAACAAATAAAATATTTTTCCGAAAAAAAAAGTTGTGTAATATGACATACGTCATCAGTATTTAATTTTATAACTTTAGTCATATTATGTTTTTCGTAACTGATAATTATCATTATTAGAATTATTTTCTTTTTTTCTTGAAAATCTTGGAAAATGGAAATCTTTTCGATGACTATCACAAAAATTAATCTTATTTTCTTATGTAATAATGTTAATTTTTCTCAATAGATGTATATACTGAAATCATCAAATGTTTCTGTATTCTATCTTAATTCTTTGAGAACCGACTATTTTAAAATAAAATATAGCCAAGTTTGTACGTACAAAATCAATTGTAATTGCAAAAGTATTAACTCTCATAATCATAATACTTGCCCGTATCGCTACGACACAAATTGAGATCTTTGAAACAGAACACTCATACAATCTAGCGTAAAAAAATTCAAAGACTTTCAATTTCTCTTAGAGTTTTTAAATCGTATATAGTCGCTATCGGTTCCCACAGAGTTTAAATATTTTTTTTTTATTTGAGTACTAGATACTGAGACATTTTCTTATATTTATGTATGTACTAAGAACAAAAGAATCACAAATAAAGAATAATCACCATGAATTTTCTTTCGGATGATCAATAAATATCATCTGTCAGAAAGCTTCCTACAGCAATACAGAAAAAATGTTTTAGTATGCGATCAGTTTAAATTTTTTATTCGAGTGAATCTATTGTCATTTGAGTTAATATAACATGAGATCCTAGTCCACTACCACTACCAAAATGAGCAGTACCACCAGATGATTCAAAAGTGATCTTGTTGATGTTTTCCCAATGAAGAAGAATAAATTGTGGTTTACCAAAGAGTAGTGTCACTGTATGTTTCTTGGTCTCCGACCAATTTTTATCACCTTTAATGGTCAGTTGTAGATTATCGTTCCAGGCAGCACATGCAGTGACAGAAAAAAGAGTAAATGTTTCATTCAGATTTTCACAACTCACTGATGCCCGGTCCTTGAAAAATGCTACATTCGAACTAGCATCAGACACGAAGGATGTTGCATATCCACTTATCGGAAAATTTTTGATCGCATACGATTTGTGCATGTAATTCATACTGATCCATGTAAATCCTCGATACTGAACTGGAATACAATAACAATTATCAGTTCCATCTTGTAAATCATCAAATGTAATTTTGATTTCCCATATGCTTGGATCTAAACTCATTATTGTTTTAATATCTTTAGTGAAAATCGAATCTAGTTATTCACTTACCTATTATGCGCATTTCATCTAATTGAAGATTGAGTTCATGTATTTCACGTTTATATTCTTTCGATTCATTTTGAAGTAATCGATTTTGTTCTTTTAAACAGATAATTTCTGTATGTTTTTGGTTAAAATCAGCTCTTTTGAATATAAGTTTGCAAGTTTGACAAATTAAATCAATTAATGGACATGTGTTCATATGATTATCATAATCTTTTTTCAATATTTGTGATTTACAACCAGAACACTGACGAGGTTGAAAACTACATTCGATCTCATGTTTATCTAACCCTTCATATGAAGTAACCTATTAAAAGATAGCATAGAGTTAAAAAAAGTAATCAACATATACATACTTGACTACAACCATAAGATCGATAGAAACAATTCATATTTAATTGAGCAAGTAGTTTAGCAATAAATGGAGGACATTTTCGTTCAATGTATGTTTCACATCGATTTGGACATTGTTTTGGATGATCAATTAACCATTGATGAATACATGAGGAACAGAAAGGTGTTTCACATGATTGACAAGCAACTGGTTTCCAAAGTAATCCACGACAAATAGAACATTCAAGATTATCAATGTCGACTTTAGGTATGTTAAGAATACGATCAGAAGATAGAATTTTTTGTTGAGATGTCATCTAAAAAATTAATAGAAGAAAGAGATTACTTCATAATTAAGAAATCCTGAATATCACTAGTATAGAATTAATCTTTTCGATAGTTTTTAAAAATCAGAAGAAACTCTTGATGTTTACGCAATATAATTAAATCAATGTTACTAACTGCATTTTTCATAGATTCGATCATCTATATCAATATACAAGTGCATTTACATTCTCCTTGTGTTAGTCATATGTCATTGATTTTTCTTTTTCTCTTAGTTTTTTTACTTTTTTTTATGGATTTTCTTCATTCTATGATGCCCCATGGATTATTATTGTACTGTTGTGAAGATACAGGATATAGGCGTATATACAGAAATGAACTAAAAGTGCATTTTATATGTCACAATCAATTGGTTTGTTCTCCTCCCTAACAAATTGTCTCTATTAATTCATGCTATTGATAAACATTTCAATCAATGATATAGAATTATCCCTGATAATAATTTTTTGCGCCGTTTAAATAACACATGTGGATTATAACATGTAATCATCAAAATTGCGCAGTCAATTCTTTTTAATAGGAGATTTGTAATAGTGAAATTTATTCAATATCGAGAAACACTGATAAATATAAGGAGAACATAGTAAAAAATGTATTCAAGATTCTATATATGGAAAATTATGTAGTTCTACAATCTAGTTGAAATAAATGTATAGCTTAAATATTCCACTTCGTTGATATCTAATTATGCCTACCGTGTTAGCACTGGTTATACAGTTTATTATCAAAAAAATGAAAAAGCGTGCGTATTTATAAGATAGTGTCATGTGCTAAACAATAATACAAAGAATAGTGATCACGTCAGACGTGTTGAACAATAGAACAACGAATGATTGTCACGCCAGACGTTGAGCAATAGTGTAAACAACGATGATCACGGCAAATGTAGAAAAGTAGATGCTTGGAAGATAACATGATAGTCAAGGGTCGCTAAGATAACATACCGTTAAAGTGGTATACCGAAATGAATGGGAGTGAAGCAAAGGTTCACATCTACACCCGCAATGAACATCAAATGAATCGACAATTGCCATTAGCTTCAATGCTTTTATTGATGACATTCTCTGAACTTCATGAATTACCATCTATGAAAATAGTCTATGCTAAATTGAGTCAGTTCCTCATTACAAGTACAATCCAAAAACGGTATACATATTTTTCTATTTTTATTGAAAATTTTTTAAAAAGTTTAAATAATATAACTCTTTGCTTGATGAATTATTTTCTTGATAACTTGAGTACAATGAATTTTGCGTGCAATTGTTTGTGTTCTCTTACACTTGGTTTATCAACCACATCAATTTCTTTTATTTTGATAAACAAATAGTTTTGCTTCCATCTTACAAAGTATGTTGTCAGTCGATGATAATGGAAATAGTATTTGTATTAGTGATCGTCTTTTAGTAACTATTTCAATATTTGATGTCAAAAAATATGTGACGATATTTACTCGCATGTGATATTCGAACATAAAACATTCGTTACTCTGTTGTAGCGACCATTATTATAGTTTATGGAGGACTTTTTCGATTTACATAAATGTCGGATGAACAGACTTTTAAAGAATTTGTTGTTTTTCTTTTCGCTGTCACATATGCATCGAGATTCCACTCCAACTAATCCATGAAATTACTTTCCGAAAAGGCATATGATGACAAATCAAGTGATACAGTGGATCTATTTGTTACATAGTTATGTTTCGAAGGCACTGAAAGACCTTTAGAAAAGCACTTGCTAAATTACATTGTATCGTACATCATCTTAGTGAGTATTATTTCGTACGAACCGTATTGATTGCATAAATAAACAACTCGAATTATCATCTTTTCTCTTTTAAGAAATTAATTAAGTTATTTAAAACGAATAACTAGCGCTATGTGCTGACTTACTTTTAAGAGTTGTAAAGGATCTCTATTTGCATCTAACAAATTTTCGAAAATCAGAATGCGTAGTTTGCCTATATCAGATAAATGTTATCAATAATTAATGTTCGATAAGGGCTTGTCGCAGCTATATTCCCGAAGACTTGCTAACCTTCTCCATGTTGACATGGGTGACTTAGAAGAACAAGAACAGTTTCAATATAAAATAAGGTCGATGTTGATTCATCGAGATCACTTGTTGTTTCCTCTTGCGATATTTTCTAAATCATTTCAGTATTTTTTTTACATGTCTTACTAATTCCTCGTATAAGATCAGTCGCAATCATTTTCAACTGACTTTCGTTTTCTTGTCAGATGAAATCGTACGTATATTCCAATCTTCTTCTAGTAGGACTTCTCTATGCATAAGTTGTATCATATCTAGTAACTTTCTTTGTTCCGCTTCATGCTGAAATATCTGAGAGTGACCAACAGTCACTGTTTAACTTAGTTTTCGATGAAAAGAACGAAGAAGAATTTCTTTTTACACAGTATTGATAGAGGAAAGTCAACGAACGTAACATGCTTGTTGTGAACATAATGATAACAAATACAGTACATAATCTTTACTTTTATAGAGGTGCAATCATTCTAGTTACTTCAATATCTCCTAGAGATCAGAATAGCAAAAATCAATGTCAATCAGTCATTCACGATGATAAAGCATTAAATAGAGGTATTTCCAAAGAATTGGAATAATTGAGTCTGTTTTAAATCCTGTTTCAAAAATATCAAGCGATGATCAGATACCACTGGGAATTTCTCTGTGGTGTAGATGTCGATTAAAAGAAGGACAACGCTCATCCATACCCATACTCGATTCGACTTAACATAGTCCTTTATTAGAATAATTTTAGTTAAACAAAAACAATTAACTTCTGTTTAAGTTAATTGCAACATCACTGAACTTGTCAAAATTATTCTTCTTTTATTCGGGCTTATGACTTAGGGTGTGGGTTACGGGTGTAAAAAGAAAAGAAACAAACTCACACCCACACCCCACCTACCTACCCACCCACGCCCACACGCTTGCATCATAGAAAATAGAAACCATTATCGAAAAGTCATTTGACATATACATATAATGAGTTTCACATAGCAGCAAAAGATGAATTGCAATGGTGCGAACCACTTGGAAATGTTCCCTTGTAAGAAAAAGAATGTTAACACGTCCATCTTTTATCATCGTTGTTGTATATTCACATAATACTGCTACAACTAGATAGTGTCAAATAAATTTTGTAATATACTGTCTTCATTATTTTTGTACACTAATTTATTCTGTGCAAAGGCAACTTTCGTTGTCTTTTTCTACAGTATGTTTTTCTTTTTTTCTTCCTACTTTCGCAAGGTTATCAAGCAACAAATTATTCAAAAATGCCTTCGTATGAAATTAGGAGTCAGAAAAAAAACAAACGATGTCACATGGGAATAACACACGGTATCAATCCAAAGCACTCGATAACTATTCATGCATATTATTTTTTCAATTTTTCGAAGAAAAATGAAAAAAAATCATTGCAGGCGTATCCTCTGAAATTATGTATAAAAACGCTGTGAATTCAAAATAGTAGACACTCTTCGATTTAAAAAACAGACAATCATACTCGCAGCTAGTTTTCAACAGTCGATTCGTCTATATCTCTAGGTAAGTGGTAATATCTCTAGATTTGAAAATAGATGAATTTTCATAGTGAGATATTTGATTGCACAACATGAGTGTTTAAGTTTTTCACTAACATGTTATAGTTTTCTCCATGCTACGATGTTATATGGTGTCTTTGCATCCATTAATATACATATCTTCTCTTTAGAGAAAATGTCAAACGGTATCCATTTTTCCACCATCAAATGGCAGGACATAATAAAATATGGAGGTGATGGCTCCTTACAAGTAGTTGATCAGTCTGGAAACCAACACTTAATCTCGAGTCGATTTGGCTGGTCATCACATAATTGCTCATGTACAGGGCGCAACACAGGTCTAGTCTTATATCCGTATGATACGGTATATAAAAACGTTGTATTGCTTGTTTGTGAAAAATGTTATGGATATCAACCATATAATGATACACAGCATAATCAATTATTGAATTGGTATAATAGGCTTTATTCCGACACAAAACAGTATCGTTTTGTATCTGGATTCTACATGAAAGACGACGGTACACTGGAATACAATAGTATGTCACAAAATGCAGTTGGTCCTTATTCTGATGGCACTAAAGAAATGGGTTGGATTGAGCGAGATGCTGTTAAAAAGGTTGTTAATGGAAAACTTGACAACCACATAGTATAAACAATACTGTCATACATCACTATCATCATGACTTTTCCATTTATATTTTTTAATCAGTTTTATTCTCAATGAATAAGATTACTAGAGGTTAAGTTTTCTGAGAAAATGAAACTTTGGACACCGCCGCAAGTAGCGTAACTCTTCGATATTGGTCGATTTTACATGTGTTCTAAAGAGATGAAATGAGTATTTTCTCAAACGTTCTGCTTTCCTTCCTGAATGTATTGAATCTTCAGAAGATTGTTGGTATTTAGTTGAAATCTGACTACCTCTCAGTCGGCTTAGAGGGTGTGGGTGTGAATGTGAGGGCGTGGATTTGGGTGTGGGTGTCGGCATAGATGTTGGACATGCCTTCAGCCATGCTCACACCCACACCTACATCCACACCCACACCCGCAGCCACACTCACACCCACACCTCGTTACCGTTCTCGAGTAACGGTCTGGAAACGGTAACTTCCCACCCCTAGTCAAGATGTAAATGTAGTTGTTGGCGTTGATCGTAAATACATGAGGTGATCAATGAAGTAAGATTGGAGAATGATTGAAGAATTTCTTTGGTATTGAAATATTCCAAAAAGATTGAGAATCAATTTACCCGAAAGACATTCAAATATGGAACAAACGGCTTTATTGTAGAAAATTAACTGACATCTTTATCTCTATATATATAAAGAAGAAGGTTTGTTTGTTTGTTTGTCTGTTGGTTATGCATTTAGTTCCTGTAAGAGCCAGTGCAACTAAACTTTGCA